GTTCAGGGTCTCATTGCTAGGTCAGACTCATAGTGATCCACCTGTTTACAGCTCCCAAGAGCTGGGATTACAGGAGCACACCACCATGCCCAGTCTCAGTTGCTGTCTCAGCGCGCCCTGGGGGCGGGGCTGGCATGGCAGGCAGGGGATCAAACTATTCTTTAAATTCTAAACCACTGTATAGGCTGTTGTTTACTATCATCTTAATTTGGTTTATTGTAGGTTTTTTTATGATTTTCTTTGGAGAGATTGGGATGATGAAGAAAGCTGTGAGAATTACCCTGCTCTTATTGAAGAAAGAATTAATCTGTAAGTACAGTTTGGAAAGCTACGAAACACATTATAAGGGAGAAACATCATAACCGTAATCGTACTTCGCAGGTGGTGTGACATGCAGGATGGAACAATACCTGCTCCAATCGCACAGCGCTTTAAGAAAACCTTGGAGAAATACAAAAAGAAGCGCATCGAGCTCATCGAATACCAGAACAATATTAAGGAAGACCCATCTGCAGCAGAGGCTGTGGAGTGCTGGAAGAAGTACTACGAAATAGTAATGCTCTGTGGATTATTGAAAATGTGGGAAGATTTACGCCTTCGGTAATAATTTACTGTATTTTAAGTACAAATAAAAGATTACATTATTATTTTATTATAACCATATCTATCTATATATATTAATACCATACATGTTTGCTTCATTAAAATAGACTATAAAATTAGATGTCTAATTTATGAGCTAAGCACAAGGGTACAATTATAAATATTGGAAAATTATTTTTATATCAACTGAACTGAAATCATTGATATCATTTGGTTTTTCTCTTCTGTTTTTTGTTTTAGTTTGTTTTTTTCTGTACCAGAGATTGAACTGGGAACCGTGTGCTTGCCAGGCAGGTGCCCATGCAGCTGAGCTTTCTCCTTAGCACTGTTTTGAACTGGTGTCACTTTTACAAAAAAAAAACAACTCATAAATATAGCCAACATCTTTTATATTTGCCTTTTTAAAGCATAAGAAAGGTAGAGGTATAGATCTCTTTTGGGTATACTAGGTGAAGTAAATAAGGGAGAGTTGATTAATTTGACTCTCTCATAATATCAGCTTCTCTAACCAAAATAAATTGATAACAGGTTCTGATGATAAAACAATACAGAATTAATCAACATCATTTTCTAGTATACTTAAAAATGCACTCAGATATTCTACTATGAAGTGAAGAATGTATGTTTTACATAATGGGAAAAGTTTTTTTTTTGTTTTTTTTTTTTGGTATTTTGGGGAAGGGTCTACAGGGTGTTCACGTTCTCACTACTAGATTGGACTAATAGTGATTCTTCTGTTTACAGCCTCCCAAGAGCCGGGATTATAGGTGTGCCACCATGCCCAGTCTCAATGTCCTTCTTAGCATGCCCGGGGGGCAGGGCCAGCACAGCAGGCCTGAGGATTGAACCCCCAGCCCCTGCGCCTGCTTGTAGTCGCTTTAATCCACTGAGCTATTTGAAAAAACAAAATTCTTGTTCACAATCTTTTCCTCTTTTTTTTTTTTTTTTTTTTTTTGCTATTTCATGGAAATTTCATTTTTTAAAGACTCAAGACGCATAGCGATTTTCTTGTTTGCAGCCTCCCAAGCAGGCGCGTGCCATCACACCCAGTCTCAACACTGTCTCAGCAAGCCCTGGAAGCAGGGCTGGAATGGCAAGCCTGGGATCGAACCTTTGTCCCTGTGTCTGCCTAAACAGGTGCTTTAATCTGTTGAGCTCTCTGGCCGGCCCTTCATGGAAATTTTAATCTGAAAAATTTAATAATTCAGATATTTAATATAAACCAATAATTTATATTTCTATTCAATATTCACAATTAGTGGAATTAGTCTTAACAATTCTTAATCATTAGATCCAAAAACATCACACAAGAAAAGTTACCATATGCCCCTCAACCCTCCAAAACCAACATACTTATTTTAGTAATATTCAGATAACATAGGTGAAGTAGTATTAAATTTTCTTTTTGGAAAGGAAGTTTGATACATAAGTGACCCTTTAATACCTGCTTTGGGTCCCCTTTTTCAGATTGACTCTCCCCATAACCTCTGGACCCTCCATACCTTGAACTAGTTGATAACTCACGAGGAACAGGACATACCTTATCCATAGAAGATGGCATCCCTCGTTCTTGTCTACCACCATGCTCATAGCCTCTTGAATAAATATTATTTCCAATGCTTGGATATTTTTCCCCGTTTCTGCCATAGTATCCCTTATGCTGTTAGAGTCTGCTTCTATGATAGCGACTGCTTCTATCTTGTATCTGAGTCTCTCTCGTAGATATTGCTCCTCAGGCGTACCAGTAACTCTCATATGCAACTCTGTATGTGCCGCCACTTGCATGTTCAGAATAGTCTCTAACTCATCTCCCACCATAGCCATCACTGTAGTGTTTCGAGGATGTTCATCTGGAGAGCAGTAATGGCCACATGATGGTATTCCCAGCCTCTAGGTGGTAAGACATGATTTTGTTGTATCGGGACCTTACATAAACTCTGCTGAATAACTGTTTTTAGCAGAGCAACTTTCATGTCTTGGTGTTACATAGTCATTTCTCTGAGAAGAAACTGGCTCTGTGTGGTGTACCTCCAACATTCTCTCCCCCATGTGATTCTGGACCTTGTGTTCCCACCCAACTAGTGCTTTGGGAAAGAGCAAAAGAAGATCTTTTGGAAGGAGGACCTCCATGTCATGAATAAGGACTTCTTTTAAATGGAAAAAGTCCTCTAGAAGAACTCATGTTGAGATTATGATTATATCCTCTATCACCCAAGCGTCCTCCTTCATGTGGAGGACGCCCTCTTGCTCCATCATTTTTGCCTCTTCCATGTCTCACACTTCTCATAGGGCCTCTATTTCTTGAGCTTATTAGCACCATCTTCACTTATTAGCACTTTCAGAAGACTGTTTGTTTTCTTGTTGTGCTTTTGTCTTTCCATTCAAAGACTTTTTGTAATGTCTTTGGCAGCAGCCTTCGCATCTACAGGTCTTTCCAAGGTAATAAAAAGCGAAGCTTCTGGACTTCTTGGTTTCTCAATCCTTTATCAAAAGAACTTCTGCTGTGGGTCCAAATGATCGAAGTACTGCTTCAAGAGTTTTCATTGGTCTTTGTGTTGAGGCCTCCTATAAACAGCTTCTCAAGCCAATCAGCTACCATCATCTTACTTCTTTTACAGTTTTCAGAGATCTTTCTTTAGTCCTTCAGAAAGAGAAAATCACGGTTGAAGTCTGATGGACAGTCTTGAATGGAGCCAGTGGAATTCACATGAGTTCATACTAATCCGTGTAACCCCTTTTCCTGTGTTCCATCCTAGCACGTTTGCTACTCTTAGGAATTCTTAGCCATTACTAGCATAAATCTTTTTGTGTTTTTCTCTAAGGTTTTTTTTTTTGTTTGTTTGTTTGTTTTGTGGAACTGGGGATTTGACTTATTTTTGCTTACTAACAATCCCATTCCAGTGCCTATTTTTGATATTTCATTACTCTTGGGATTATTGTCGTAAACCTTGAGAGAACTGTGAGAAATCACAGATTTAAAAAATCTACTTATCTAGAAATCTGTAAATTTAGCAAAAATTTGGAGGGCTTTTTTTTTTTTTTTGGTGTTTTTGTCTTTTGGTACCAGGAATGGAACTCAAGGACCTTGCGCTTGCTAGGCAGGTGCTTATGCCACTGAGCTAGCTATCTCCCTGGCCCAGTAAAAATTAAATTTGAATATAAGTTATCATCACTAGATTTGAGATGGCATAGAACATAGATATCTTCCCAACTGAGGAATGGATAAAAAAGATGTATTTTTTACTCAATGGAGTATTACTCAGCTATAAAAAAGATGAATTTGAGGCTTTTGTAGATAAACGGATGCACCTAGAGACTGTATTGGTAAATGAAATAAATCAGACCTACATGTGCAAACATCATATTGTTTTGCTAATGTGAAACCTGAAAGAATAAATAAAATCTGAGAAAATTTTCACAATAAATACTGTGAAAGGGAAAGAATTTGTTCAATGGTAAGTGAAAACTGAGCTGAGAAAAAGAACAAAAGAAAGGAAAAAGATATATTTATGTAACTATATGCAGGATAATTGGGATAATTGTACTGCTGATCTCTGCTGCTCTTTTGAAAGGAGCAGTTAATGCTTAAACTTTTTTCTTTTTCTTTTTAATTTCTTACAACTTTTTTTTTTTGTTTTAACTATTTATTTATTGATTTATTTATTTGGTACAGGGTCTGGTATGCAGCTCAGAGTCAGTGAGCCCCCTGTAGTGAGCCTCCCCAGTGCCGGGGTTACAGGCATGTGCCACCACGCCCAGTTTCGGTGGCCGACAGGGCACTCAGTACTGGGGATCAAAGCCAGGTCCTTTCCAGGCAGATGCTTAGACTGATGAGCTATCTCCTTGGCCCTGTTTTAACAAATTTTGCACATTAGTATTTGCTAACCTAAACAACTAATTTGAAAATAACATACAATATAGCAATCATTGTTGAATTCCTGTTTAGTGAAATTTTGTATCATTTGTAATGCTTTTTTATTTTACTGTCTTGTATTGTTTAAAAAATAAAATAAGGACAACAAAAGAACATAGATATCTCCCATTTTAAAATTTATAATCTCGCTGGGTATGGTGGCGCACATGTATAATCCCAGAAGGATCACTGCGAGTTTGAGGCCAGCCTGGGCAACATAGTAAATTTAGATCAGCCTAAATGACAGTACAAGACCTTGTCTCAAAACACTAAAAAGGGCCAGCCAAATAGCTCAGTGGATTAAAGCGCCTGCAGGCAGGCGCAGGGCCCAGGAGCTCAATCCCCTGGCCTGCTCTGCTGGCCCCACCCCTGGGTGCACTGAGATGGTGACTGAGACTGGGCGTGGTGGTGCGTGCCTATAATCCCAGCTCTTGGGAGGCTGTAAACAGGAGAATCACTATTAGTCGGCTCTAGTAGTGAGACCCTGAATGCCCTGTAGGCCCTTCCCTAAAATGCAGAAAGAAAAAAAGCACAAAACAACAATAACAAAACTCCTTATAATCACAGACTAGCTTCAGGAACTATGGAATGAATGGATTAATCAAACTGGCCACCAGGTAACAATTATAAAACTTGGACCAAATCTATGAAGAGTATATGATTCTTGGAAAAAGCTATAAAATGACCAAGGCAACCATGAAGTTTGTCCCTGAAATTGATTTATCCTTGGATGGGCAAGATAGGGGAATTTGTGACTGTTTGATCTGAAGTGGATCCCAGAGGCTCTCAGTTCTGGCAGCAAAAGATTACTGTTACTGTTTTGAGATGACAAAAGGACTGAGTGGCTAGATGGTACATCCCAAAACTAAGCTGCAAAAAAGCCAAGTCCCAAGATTGGAGCTTAAGCCCCACCTAGATCCTTGGTTGACTCCTTGTTACTGGGAGGAGAGACAGACAAGGAGGAACAGAAACCAGGCTAAAAAGGAATAG